GTAGTAGTAGTCGTAGTAGTAGTAGTAGTAGTAGTAGTAGTAGTAGTAGTAGTAGTAGTAGTAGTAGTAGTAGTACTAGTAGTAGTAGTAGTAGTAGCAGTAGTAGTAGTAGTAGTAGTAATCATAATAATAGTAGTAGGAGTTGTGGTAGTAGTAGTAGTAGTAGTAGTAGTAGTAGTAGTAGTAGTAGCAGGAGGTGGAGAAGGAGCAGGAGGAGGAGGAGGAGGGGGAATAGGAGGAAGAGGAGAAGGAGGAAGCGGAAGGAGCGGAGGAGGAGGAGGAGGAGCATGAGAAGCGGGAGAAGGAGCAGGGGCAGGAGAAGCAGGAGTAGGAGGAGGAGAAAGAGAAGCAGGAGGAGGAGGAGGAGGGCGAAGAGGAGGAGTGGGAGGAGGAGGAGGAGGAGGAGGAGGACGAGGAGTAGGAGGAGGATGAGGATGAGGATGAGGATGAGGAGGAGGAGGAGGAAGAGGAGGAGGAGGATGAAGAGGAGGACGAGGAGGAGGAGGAAGGGGAGGAGAAGGAGGAGGAGGAGAAGGAGGGAGGAGGAGGAGCAGAGGAGAAGGTGGAGCAGGAGGAGGAGGACGAGGAGGAGGGTGAGAATGAAGCGGACGAGGAGGAGGAGAGGAGGAGGAGGAGGCGGAGTCGCGATCCCATCGGACGACGCGCCGAGTTCGGGAGGAGGAGGCGGAGGAGGAGGAGGAGGAGGAGGAGGAGGAGGAGGAGAAGAAGGAGGAGAAGGAGGAGGAGAAGGGGGAGGAGGAGGAGGAAATGGAGGAGGAGGAGGAGGAGGAGGAGGAGGAGCAGCAGGAGGAGGAGGTGGAGGAGGAGTTGGAGGAGGATGAGGAGGAGTAGGAGGAGGATGATGAGGAGGAGGAGGAGGAGGAGGAGGAGGAGGAGGAGGAGGAGGAGGAGGAGTCGCGATCACATAGGCGCCGAGTTTGGGAGAAGGAGGAGGGGGAGGAAGAGGAGGAGGAGGAGGAGGAAGAGGAGGAGGAGGAGGAGGAGGGGGAGGCGGAGGAGGAGGAGGAGGCGGAGGAGGACGAAGGGAGGAGGAGGAGGATGATGATGAGGAGGAGGAGGGAGAATATGTATGATCATGTGGGGGGGGGCAAGCATATATATGTATGTATACCTACCTACCTACCTACCTACCTACCTACCTACATACATACATACATACATGCATACATACATATATGCATACATACATACATACATGCGTGCATGCATGCATGCATGCATGCATGCATGCATACATACATATGCATACATACATACATACATACATGCACACATGCATGCATACATACTTACATATATATATAGAGAGATATGTATGTATATATATAAAAACAACACAACACACGGCGTCACAATCAAGCTCCGGATCTAGCTCAACAGCTAGCACGACGATACAGCTTACAGACACAAGAAGCAGAAAAACTGAGCAAGCAAATTAAGCAGGAAATTAAGCAATAAAATTACGCAGGAAATTCAGCAGGCAAATTAAGGAGGAAATTGGACAGGAAGACTAAGCACAAAAATAAGCAGGAGGCTCAAACAAGAAATGAAGCAGGAAGTTCAAGCACGGAAATTAAGCAGGAAACTAAGCAAGAAAATGTACTTGGACATTAAGAAAATAAATGTGGCACGGAAATTCAAAAGGAAAATTAAACAGGAACTTAGGCAGGAAATTGTTCAGGAAAGATAACCAAGAAAAGTAAGAAAGAAAACTGAGCGCGTGCTACTTTGAGCGCGAATGTGGGCGTTAATTTCAGCGCTAACTTAGGCGCCGCATGTCGGCGCAAATTTAGGCCCTCTTTTCACCCTAAATCAGCGGCATATACGCTTTCCTCCTGGAGCTCCCTTGAGGTACCCGCTCATTATCGCCGCGAATTTCCGCCTAATTCTGGCACGCGCTGGGAATACCCAAATTAGCTACACATTAGCGAAAATAAGCGACGTCACTAAGAACATATATCGCCACCAACATTAGCGGAACCTGTGTCATTTAAATTACTACCTTCAAGGGAAAAATTAAGCAGGAAAAACTCACAGGAAATTAAATCGGAAAGTTGAGCAGGAAATTCAGAAGGAAAAAGAGCAGGGAAAGTAATCACGGAAATTGGGGGAAATGAAGCAAGAAAATTCAACAGGAAATCAAGCCGGAAACTTAATTAGGAAATTAAGCAGCGAAATGAAGCAGGGAACTAAGCAAGAAAATGAAACAGGAAAAAAGCAGGGCAATTAGAAATTAAAATAAGGGCGGTACAACGGAAAAATTACGCCGGACAATTTGAAGCAGCTACGTAGCTCTCAAAGTGAACCGGACAAAGCGTTACCTGTTGAATCCATCTAGGAAAATAAAGTCCTGGTTCGCCCCATAAAACCGACACTGCACTGCGCTTAGACGCTGTACTGGGAGGGGGAGACGCATGTGGACGGTACCATCGAGGCCTCCAGGGAGCTTCCCATGGGACCATTAAGCGCTGTACTCGGCGGGGGGACGCATGTTTAGGTGGAGCTCCATATGGGGCCCCGAAACGCTGTGCTGAGTGGGGGAGACGCATATGGACACTGCCAGTGGGGCCTTAGGACCTCCCTTATGCGGCCACGAAACGCCGTGCTCGGTGGGGGAAACGCATGTGGACACTGCCAGTGGGGCCTTCAATGGACCCCCATGGGGCCACGAACTGCGGTGCTGGATGGGGGGACGCATGTGGACACCGCCACTGGGGCCTTCGGTGGAGCTCCCTGTGGGACCACGAAACGCCGTGTTGGGTGGGGGAGACGCATGTGAACACCGCCATTGGGGCCTTCGGTGGACTTCCCTATGAGGCCACCAAACGCCGTGCGTGCTGGGTGTGGGATGGGACGCACATGGACATACTAATACTATGTCCTCCTTGGAGGCGCCCGTCCGACCCGAATATGTAGTATACCCATCTTGTAGTATATCGTTTCCCGAGCGGTGTGGCCAGAAAGCGCACGCCACGACGCATATACTATAAGATTTCTCGGTGCGCGCGTCGCCCCTGGGGGGCGACGCACATATAGTATAAGTATGTTGGGGTGTTGCCGATGGGAGACACATGTGGGCACCGCCACTGGGGCCTTCGGTGGAGCTCCCTACGGGGCCACGAAACGCCGTGCTGGGTGGGGGAGACGCATGTGGACACCGCCATTGGGGCCTTCGGTGGAGCCCCCTTATGGGGCCACGAAACGCTGTGCTGGGTCCGAGAGATGCATGTGGACACCGCCACTGGGGCCTTAGGTGAAGCTCCCTATGGGGCCACGAATCGCCGTGCCGGGTGGGGGAGACGAATGTGGACACCGCCACAAGGGCCTTCGGTGGAGCTCCCCATGGGGACACGAGGACACCGCCACTGGGGCCTTGGGTGGAGCTCCTTATGGGACCACCAAATCCCGCGCTGGGTGGGGGAGACGCATGAAGACACCGCCATTGGGGCCTTCGGTGAAGCTCCCTATGGGACCACGAAACGCTGTGCTGGATGGGGGAGACGCATGTGGACACCGCCACGGGGGCCTTAGGTGGACCTCCCTAGGGGAGGCCACGAAACGCGAATGACGATGATGATGATGATGATGATGATGATGATGATGATGATGATGATGATGATGATGGTGATGGTGGTGGTGGTGATGATGCTGATGACGATGACGATGACGATGACGATGACGATGACGATGACGATGACGATGACGATGACGATGACGATGACGATGACGCTGACGCTGATGCTGATGCTGATGCTGATGCTGATGCTAATGATGATGCTGATGCTGATGCTGATGCTGATGCTAATGATTGTGATGGTGATAATGATGATGCTGGTGATGATGATGATGATGATGATGATGATGATGATGACGATGACGATGATGCTGATGCTGATGCTGATGCTGATGCTGATGCTGATGCGGATGACGATGCCGATGACGATGATGATGATGATGATGATGATGATGCTGATGCTGATGCTGACGATGATAATGACGACGACGATGGCGACGACGACGACGACGACGACGAGGACATGCGGAGGGCAGGGGCAAGGGATGGGAGAAGGGAGGAGCGGGAGGAAGAGGAGAAAACAGGCGAGGAGGAGACGCGGGGACTCCCTATTCAAAACGAGGTCCGACACCACAGGATGGTTGGGAAATATGTCAGATGGGTGCTGTGAGCGATCAGATCGACACCGCAAAGGGAAACTTGGAGGTTAGCCCGAAACGGTCCGGCATCTTTTCAACAGGAATTGCATCTGCGTATGAGAAGCAGCCACGCGCTGGCAGCACGGCGCACCACGGCACGCAGTGCAAAAGAAGAAGGCATGCATCCGACCAGAAATTATCCCGGCGAAGGACCCGACCATGTGCACTTGTGAGTAACGCAGTTGTGGGTACCGTCCTCGGTGAACCTCTCTCTGGGGCCACGACGCGGGTCACGGGTATGCCAAAATTAGCACGGGTGGTACACCATGCGGACGCTGCAACCTAAGCGTGTGAGGGGTGCGCCGAAATCCAGGGTGGAACCGCGCGCGGCCGCAGACACTAGGGCCTTCGGCGGAGCTCCATGTGGAGCCACGAGACGCGTAAGGGGTGCGCCGAAATGCAGCGTGAAACTGCATGCGGGCACTGCCATTGGGGCCTTCGGTAGAACACCCCATGGGGCCACGAAACGTGTGAGGGGTGCGCCCGATTGAGGGTGGAACTGCATGCGGACCTTGCCACTGGGGCCTTCAGTGGAGCACCTAATGGGGCCACCGAACGTACGAGGGGTGCGGCGAAATGGAGCGTGGAACTGCATGCGGACCCTGCCACGGGGGCCTTCGGTGGACCACCCTATGGGGGGCCACGAGACGTGCGGGTCGGGGGTGGGCGCTGGGTTCGGGGCCCAGGCACGTTTTCTGGCCAAAGAGGCCGAGACATTCATAGATTCTGTTTTCTGGAATCACGATTTTCCTCGATTGAATTCGGCTCTCGAGGTTTCTCGAAGTGTTAAACGGAAGCCTTCAACGTAGCAAAAAGCTGGAACGAGCTGTGCTGGCCAACTTTCCTCGAAAATATATTCAAAACGAGATCCCGACCAGAGGGAGGGCTGGAAAAGGCAGACAAGCACGACGCTGGGAATCTGGGGAGGAGGAGGGTGGAGGCAGGAGCGCCTCTCCGCCTGTGGTGGCCGAGGAGCTTGTCGAGCATTTCAACGCCTCCCTCCAGGGATTTGATCTTCTGTTCGAGGTCGCCGGTGGAAGCCTCCTGCACCATCACAGTCCTGTTCGTCGTACTACTCTTGAACGTGCCAAACGCATCAGACGAGTGGCGCAATGAGACCTTCGACATGACGAAGGCCGATTTCCTTATCGCAGCTTTCTTTACAACATTGACGATTGACTCCGTCTTGCCAGCCTCATGTTTGACAGTCGAGTACGCGTCCATAACAATAGCGACAAACATGTTGACTAATACTAAAAATACAAACCCCATGTAAATTACGAACCATGATGTCGCATTGAATGGAGCTATCCAGTACATCGCCGCGAAATCAAAGTCACCCATCAAGGCCCGAAACCCGCTGCAGAACGCGAGGATGGCAGAGGACCATTCCTTTAGCGCCTGGCCAAAGAGAAAGTGAGCGCCCATGATGAAGTTGAAGAAGACAAGCAAGAAGATGAGCATGAAGTGGAAGAGGTCCTCGGAGGCATTGGCCAGAGTCTTTGTGATGACCGCCAGTCTCGCATTCGCCTTGAAGTTCTGGAAGATTTTCGCCAACATCATCATGCTGTACCAGAACGAAGACATCTCATTCCAGCGGACCGCTGAGGTCAGGGAGTCCATCGAGTCGTAGGCGCGGTTCAGCTTCGCGTAGTGCTCACTGGCTGCCTCGCCTGTCAGACCAGTGTCGGAAGCCAGGAGGCCTGTCAGTTCGCCCCCCACGTCGCCGATCTGCACGAACAGCCACATGTAGAAAACGATCAGGACCGAACCCCCAAAAATGAGGGACCAATTGATCACACGGTGGAAGGCGAAGTACCCGAATATCTGCCCATCCGCGGCCGCCTGTCTGAGCCCGAATACCTCTCCTCCGAGGAGCCATGCGATGTTCAAGCAGAACCACAAGTCGGCCAAGATCGTCGTGGCCGAATTCCAGACCTCTGTCTGCAGGCCCTTCGCTGAAACGACTGCAGTGAATGCACCCACCCGATCCATCCAGAAGTCAATCTGGACAAGCGCAAACCAGCCAATCTGCCCACAATACATCGCGTACTGTAGCGTCAGCGATTCGGCGGCGGCCGACAGCCATCGGCTGTCGCGCAGCTCCTGGACATGATCCAGGGCTTGGGCCGTAGAATTTCCAGTGGGGATCCAGTATGTGTATGCTCCAGTATCAGCGTCAGCGTTTGCGCCTTGCACCGCCGTGTCGCCGTCTTGTGCATCCGACGGCGCTACAATGTTAGACGTTTGATATTCCGAGTCTGTGGACCTGCAGCTGCGACCGAATCTGGAGCTGAGGAAGCTGCTGTACGTGTCCTTCAGCAGCTGGGCCCCCATGCACTCGACGGACTCAAGGCGCCACTGCTGCAATCGGACGCCTCCTAACAGCTGGTTCACGCCCATCACGAGGCCTGGCGCGGCATCTTCCTCGACCCACAGAAACGGCACGACCGTGTTCTCAAGGTACACCAGGGTGTCCCCCCAAGACCGCACGTCTGTCAAACTTACTGCAGATCGTGTGTCATCGTCCACGCTCATCGGTGTCGGAAGCACGCCTGTCGCCATGGCCGATGTCATCGATGACGTTATCGGATACACCGTTCCAACATCCCGGTGCGAAACCTGAACCAAGAGAAACGAGAAATAAAGCATAACCCTAGGTCGGGCATGTCCCCCTACAGGGGAAGTTTGGACGAAAAATAAAGAATACCCCACAAATTTCCGAAAATAGTCAAAGACAAAAAAAACAACATACGTTGAAAACAAAGCACAAAACATAATAAAACAAAAACAGACACAAAAAAAACAAAACAACCAAAAAAAAAAGGTCCCAAACCAATACTTAAACTATTTTTTGCAGAATCCCACCAGCCCTCTGCGCGTCGGTGGTTTAGAGCGTTTCCTCTTCCACCCCTCCTTTTTCCCCTTCGGGGAGGGGTTTACCCCTCCCCCTACCCCCTCCCCACTGACCTGGACAGGGGGGGTGGGGAGCGGTCAGAGCGTCCAAAACGGCCTCGCCGAGGAAGCCACAATCATTGATTTTACTAAGGTTTTGGCCCCATTTTGGCCCCCAGAGGGGGCAGCACTAATTGAAGCTCCCCTGTTCTTTGATCGATTTCCTCCAAGATGGCCCCAAGAAGCGCCCAGGAGGCACCAACAGGCCCCAAGATGGCCCCAAGATGGCCCCAAGAGGCCCCCAGGAGGCCCCCAAGAGGATCCCAAACGGCCCAAAGAGGCCCCCCCGAGGCACCCAAGACGCCGAAAAGCCCCTCAGGACGACCCTCTACTCGCCTGGGCGTCGTTTCTGGACGGGCTGGTGGGGATACGCGAAGCGTCTAGAATTTTCCTGCAGTCACGGACAGGCCCGACTTAAGCATAATCGTGAAGGGCAGGCTCCTGCAGGTCGCCTGCGAGTCCTGCTCGTCCGCGAGCCAGTCCGCGGCGGCCTGCTTCAAGTTCCGCAGGCTCGACTTCGACAGCGACTTCGCCAACGTCGTCGACAACGACCTCTCCGGAGACTCCTCCAGTTCGTCGACCTCAACCTCGTCGGAGAAGCCTACTTCCTGAGCGGGGGCCAGCGGAGGGGGGCGGTGGCGGTGCTGGGCCACGGAACTGCTGGCGTCCTGCGGGCAGCTACTCGCCCCGCTCGCCCCGCTTCAGGGGAACAAACAATGACATCCGCCTCCGTAACTCGGGGCACGGAATGGGCGTGTCCTCACTCCTGAGAAGTTCTCATGGGGTTCGAGGCCCCTCGGCCTAAATCTTCTGGGGTTCGTCGCGGCTTGTCTGGGGCGTGGCGCGTCTTCTCGCGTGACAGTTTCGGACCCAAGAGGGCCCCAAGACGGGCCAAGAAGGCCCCCAAGAGATCTCCAAAAAGACCCCAGACGGCCTCGAGTCGCCGAACGATCGCTCCAAGACGCCAAGATGGCCCCCAGACGGCCCAAGGGGCCTCCAAGACGCCCAAAGAGACCTCCAAGAGGCATCCCAAGAAGACCGCAAGCGGCCAAAATCATTGATTTCCCCTCGGTTTTTTGAAAGATTATGGCGATCTCGACTGCTCGGCTTCCCGACGCTCCCCGACGGCCCTGGAGGCCCCCAAGACCAGCCCAAGACAGCCCAAGAGGCCTGCTCATGAGACCCGTCTTTTTGGTGGTAAGTTCTGTTACCATGTGGGGCCACACACAGGCAATAAGACTTCTGACAGAGCACAGGCGTAAAACGTGCACTATGTTAACAGGTCCAGGGTGGCCGAGGGTGGGCAGCTTGAGCCCATGCAGCCGCAGAGAGAGGCTGCTTGTGGGCGGCAACAGAAAACGAGAGGGCTTCTCAAAGCAACAACGTGCACATCGCACTACTATGCCCATGAGTCCCTTCTTTTTGGTGGTAAGTTATGTTACCATGTGGGGCCACACACAGGTAATAAGAGATCAGTCATGCATGGCTGTCGAGACTTCCATACTATTCGCAAAGTCGAAGTTCACAGCGTAGCGGTGAGGTGTTTGTTTGTCATTGCAGCTCAAAGGTTTGTCAACATACGACAAAGCAGCGATGCAAGGCGAAAAGGATACTGAGCAGCACGGCTGGTCATACTCTTTCCCTCGAGCACGATATGTTTGCGACCCGGTCGAAACGAACAGTACCCATGCGTTCCGTGACAGAGCAGACGACCACGATTCGTTAGACAGAGGTACCCAGAAGCCGTGACGCAGCCGAGAATTATCCTCGTGGCCTTCCGCCACCTGGAGCCAAAGGCACACTGATGCAACTCCAACGCTCGTGAGAAAGGAAGCATCTTCTCCCGCGTGACTTTAGATCGCCACATATACGAGGTCAAAAGATTCTCGAGCGCATATGGGACATGGTGACGGAGGCAGAGACCAACGATGTAAGCCGACACCTGGAGGCACAAGTTGCCAATTTCAACCGCTTCTTTGCGATGGCCATTGCGAGCTAACGAGAACGACGAGCACGGGGGCGCCAGCATGACAGCTCGAACTAAACCATCTCTGAAGTGTCTCTCAATCAGCTTCCGATTTGCAAAGCAACATACATTCTGATCAGCACCGTTCCGAAGACCTAGACTCACGGCCTGGAAACCAAGCCGTCGTGCACATCTGGCGACACCGCCACTGCCAGCGAACAAATCCAGCACGTGGGGCACCTGCTGCTTACTCAACTGCCGGCTGACGGCCCCAGACTGGAGCTCGCTCGGCCGGCAAAGGGTGGGATGGCAGCAGCGCGGCCCAGTAGCATCATATCCTCGGGCTGCCTCGAGGCTGTCACGCAGTATGCCTTTGTCTCGTCGGACAGGCACTCCCAGCTCTCGTTCAGCCTTCCTGACTTTCCGTATCGCTTTACTGATGTCATCGCTGCCCACCTTCCTCTCTTCTGGACCTCCTCCTGTGAACGCCGATTGGTGGCTCGGTCCAGCGAAGCCCCGCTGTGCCAGCCCTGGTAGGGGACGGCGTCCACTCCGATGTTCAGAGCAGCCTTGCGGACAGGGCCCAGGAACTGAGGGTAGCTCAAGCCCAGGAGGGGCTGGGACGAACGACGATCCTTCAGGGCTCTAAAGATGTGGCTCATCCAAGGGCACCGTCCCGAATCGCAAGGTATCGTGTCGTCTGCCGACCCCACCTTGCTCCGAGCCGCTCCCGACTCTGGGAACAGCCACACCACCCAGTTCTGCACTGCATGCTCGCTCGGGGCTAAGAAAAAGCCGCTCGTGAGGCCCAGCATCTTCCCGGGCCGCAGGTAGCACTCTACCATCACCAGGACGAGCGCCCCTAGCAGCGGGGCCCCCAATCGGCACAACTCCACTGCCAGCGCGGCCCAGATCGCAAGCACCAAGGGCTTCCTTGAGCGAGATGGCGACAGCTTCTTCCAACCCTTCGGGCAGCGGAGGGAGCGAGGTAAGTGCAAACCTCCCAGGCGGCCGTAGTCCGGGCGGAAAAACATGATGCCTGCTAGCAGCTTCTCCCCTCGCCACGACTTCACTCCCTTCAGGAACTCCAAGTTCATGTACTTGACCAGCAGCGCGTCCAGCTCGCCGGGCACAGGGGGGCACTCGATCGAGCAGCGGGCCCAGACGCAGAAGACGAGGACGCACTGGCGGTAGGTCTCCAGCGTAGCCTTTCCCACCGACCGGCGCCCCAGGTAACTGATGGCCGGCTTGCTGCCTGCAGCCGTCCCCTGCTTGCCGCCCAGCTCGTCTATGGCCTTCCGAACCCGCGCCTTGCCCCTGCTCTCGAGGCGTCGCACGCAGGCTGAGACCGCCTTGGGCTCCTCGACGTCGCTGCTCTCTCCACTCGCACTGGCCGCGTCCTCGGCGGCCTCGGGGCCGCGCCCGCCGCCCCGGCCCGGCAGCTGGCGGTTCGGCCCCACGCCCAGCAGGTCCTGCAGCGCCCCCGCTCGGGCTGGCACAGCCGACGGGTGGACCGCGAGCCTCGCGTTCAGCCCGCGCAGGGGGCCCAGCGTCCTCGCCCTCCAAGCTGGCGGAGCGTCGATCAGCGACGGCCTCGACCCTGCGCTTAGCGTCCGCGCCCGCCTCTTGGTCGGCGGGGCCGCGGGCAGGGCAGCAGCCGGCTCCCGCGAGAGAGCCCTCCGACGCGCGCTGCCCAGTGCTGCTGGGGGCCGCGTCGGCAGCATCACACGGCCCGACAACGGCATGGGCCTCAACCAGGTTTGAGCCAAGATGAGATACGAGCGTCTTCCCCTGATCGTAACTGGGATCGAACTTGCGACTGCCCGCATCTCCAGAATTGAACTCACTCGGAATCCATCTCACAACAAACATGACATCTCGAGCTAAACAGAGCGCAGCGAAACGACGGACCTGAATTAGAAGCCGAAAATCCCTGGACATGGAACGGCAAAAACACAGAACAACTGCGAGGTTGTCTCCTAACAAAAGAGCACGACATTCTTTTACTGGCTGACAGCGCGCAGCTCGAGACGCTGCCTTCACGAGCGCCCGAGCCTCAAGACGAAGGATATCATCACCAAACACCCACCTGTCTGCCATCACCGTGGTCCAGCGGGAGTCGTGGAGGAGCGAGCTGGGCACCTCTGGGAAACTCGGATCGCACCCCCAGCGCTCGCTGTCCAGCACGCGCCGGAGGTCGGCGTCCAGCTGCACAGGCGCGCCGCCAGGATCACGGGCGACCTCGCCCGAACTGCTGTCCAGCAAGAAGCCCGCGCACTCGAAGGCATGCTGCCGTGCAAGCCCTGCGCCGAGCCGCCAGCGAGACAGCTCCGACACCCTGCCGATCTCCGCCACCTCCGCGGGGTCGAAACTGGCCTCCGCGACCCCGAAGCCGTAGAGACTGGCATCGGACGAGTAGACCACTGGCATCCACTCCCTGGTCCAGCGCGCCTCGAGCATCACCATGATGCCTAGGTAGCTCTCGAGCTCCTCCCTGGCCGTCGGCCACAGCACGGAGAAGGCGCGGTAACTTTGCGCAACGAAAGCATACACAGAGTGGAATATGGACGAAACTTCGCGGCGAACCAAGGCCATAAAGGTCACGTGGCCTAACACCATCTCCAGCTGCCAGCCTGCGACCCGGCGGCGCCGCAGCAAGCACCTGAGCCCCTTGCGGACGGTGGCGAACCTCTCGTCCGTGGGCCGCGTGGCCAGCCGGGCCCCGCCCACAAAACAGCCAAGCGAGCGGCCGCCCCCGGGCAGGACCCCCACCTCGTGAAACTTCAGCTGGTCGCTCTCGAAGTCCACCTGAGCCTCGCTCAAAGCTGCTGACACGCGGCCCTCGTCAAGGCCGATGATACCAGCGTTGCCCACGTACATGAAATGGCCAGTGTTGCGAACCTCTCCAGGCGCCAGCACCAGCGGAGGCCCGCGATCGCTCAGACGCACGCTATCGATAAGGGAGGGCTGCCGATCCAGCCGAGACTGATTGGCGGCCTGGGCAAAGAATAGCGACCACGAGAATCCCATCGGGAGGCTCTGACTCATCGGCCAGACCTGCTCGCCCTCTTTCACTGGGGAGCCCTCCACCAGCGTCTCTCCAGTCAAGGTAGCGCCCAGCGATGGCCAGCAAAAATAACGCCTGATGTCGCCCTCCAACTTCATCCTGTGGAACCAGTCGGCGACGTCGCCAACGCCCAGCACTGCGCGCAGCTCGGACAGGTCGCCGCCCTTCAGCAGAGGCATCTCGATGCGGCCGAGCCCCTCGCCCGACAGCAAGTCGACGCCCGGCGGCGGGCGGAACAGCGAGTTGCTGCGCCTGCAGTCGACGATGAGCCGAAGGCGAGCTCCATCTTTTTCCTTCACAAAAAAAGCCAAGCACGCTCAGAGGTCGGCGCGTCAGAGTGACGAGGCCAACTGATAGCGCGCGCCTGACAAACTTCCCATAGCTCCGTGGTCGCTGGAGCAGCAGAGGGTCAGCGTGACACCCAGGGAGTCCGTGGATCTCTTGAATTAAGGCTGCTTCCCTGAGCGGCAGCAGCATCCTGGTGGCAAACTCCTCGAGGTAGAGCCTCGCCTTCGCGGGTAGCATACTAGCCAGGCCTGGAGCATCTCTGACACTGTCCGGCAAGCTCGCCCGCGAGTACTCGTAGGAGCCCATGCTGGTGGAGCTAAGCGGGGCGCATCCCGCCTTGCCCTTCAGCAGCCTGGCGAGGGCCCCCCCCTCTGCGACGGCGCTGTCAACGTCAATCCAGCGACGAGCCGCCGCAAAGACGCGCTGCTGCACATCCGCTCGCACGGCGCCCATCTCCGCGCGGCTGACCTCCCCCTGTGGAGAGCGGCCAGCACGATGAGCGCCTCCATGCAAGTAGTTCAAGCTGCGGCAGGCTGCGTTGCCGTCGCGGAGCCAGCGGCGCTGCTGAGACCTGCTGAGGCCTTCGCACCAGTGCTCCGGCAAAGCCGCGAGCGGGGCCACAGGAAGAAAGGAAGAACCCTGCAGCCCCTGGTTGCCCTCTCGCCTTGGAGGCACGGTCCGGCCCCCGTGCCTCCCTGCCAAGCGCGTCATGTGGCCGGCGGGCGGGCCCCGCGGCCACGCCCGCCCTTCTTGCCGCCGCGGCCGCGGCCGCCGTCACCAGCAGCGCCGCCGCCGTCGGCATCTGGGGGGCCCCCAGCCGCCGCCAGCCCGCCAGCCGCCACCGCCGTCGCCGCCGCCCGCGAGGCCTCCGCAGGCGTGACGCCTGGGGCCTTCGCGCGGGCACGCAGCGCCTCCAGCTCGCACTCCTCCTTCGAGAGCCGGCTGGCGTAGCTCCTCAGCGCGTCCGGTACGAGGTCCAGCGGGTTCGTCGTCCCAGCCAGGTGCTTCGCTGCGCGCCAGTTGGCCTGGTCCGCCCCGTGCGCGCACGCCTCCGTGCACTGCAGCAGCCCCCTGGCGATCACCTCCAGCGACGCCAACGCCCCCATATTCACCTGATCGTAGGTGCCTGCAAGGTACAGGCACTCTAAGAGGGTCTGCACCTCGCGATACGCGCGATCTCGCCGAGAAATGCCCGTCTCCTTGCACTACTCCTGGATCCAAAGCTTTGGGGTCTCCGCGTGGCGATACATCTTCCGGCACACCTCCAGGCATGCGGGGGGACCCCGAACGGATGAATATGTGAACACCTCCTGCGTGCTCTCCTGCACGACCTTGCGCCACTCCTTGAAGCGCTCGCCAGTCTCGTCCACGTCGATCCAGCAGGTACGGAGGTCCTCGGGCACCTCGGCGTCGTCGCGACGCTCACCTTGGGCTTCGTGGGCCTCCGGCTCGCCGGGTGGTGTCCGAGTGGCCGTCACTCCTGAGATCAGCCTGTCGTCCAGGCGGCCGCGAGGCGGCCTCAAGCAGTCGGCGGCCACTAACTTGTCGTCTTTCCACGTCGCAATTCTCTCATCGGTGACGTACTCGATCGGGAACCAGTCGCTAGCCTCGTCGCGGTTGATGCCGTACTTGCCTCTCGGCACTGCGGCCGCGCTGGGCTCGACCTGCTTGCCGAAGCCGCCAGCATCCTCCAGCGTGGCAGCCGGCCACGCGCCAGGCGGCCGCTCAACGGGCGGCCGGAGGGCTGCCTCACCCTCGTCGGCGATGGGCAGCACCTCGGGCTCGGCGCCAGCAGCGTCGGCGGCGGTCTTGCCTCGAAGGCGCCTGCGACGGACTCGCGGCACCTCGACCGCCGCCAACGGCGGGATCACCAGGCGCCGCCCCTCCCAGTCCTGGCCCGCGACCAGCCACCAGTCGGCCACCCTAGCACCGCTCTCCAGCACAGCCTCGCCGCGGCCGCGCCGCACCAACGCTAGGATCTCATCCGGCTGCAGCTCTCGGCTGAAAGCCTTCTCGTAGCGTACCCCCGCCGGGTAACGGCGGCGGCCTGTGAGGCTCACTACACTCGAGTAGTCATCCAGCGACTCCGTGTACAGATCATTGCTAGCCGTGTAGATGACCCACGACGTCTTGTCCTCTGAGGCCGGCCAGCACAGGATACGCTCGTGCGACCAGCCCGGATCCTCGGAGTACTGCACCAGCGCAACGCCGACGCCGAGACCCAGCACGGGCACCTCGAGCGTCGCCTCCACCCCGTCGCCCAGCAGCCGAAGGGGCTGCGGCGCCGCGGGCGGAACGCTCGGCGTCTCGCAGACGCAGGCAGCCGCCTCGCTGGACGTCGTCGACGTCCTTGAGCTGTCCTCCAGCTCGTGCCCAGGGCCGAGGCGGGGCCACAGCGGCACAGGCTCAGGAGCCAGCGCCGGGCCTAGCGCCTGCCGAGAGGCGAAGCCCACGAGGAACGCAAAGAGGCCCCCCAACGCGCTGGCCGGGCCATGCGGCTGCATGCCCGCTTGCAGCTTGAGCCCATGCAGCCGCAGAGAGAGGCTGCTTGTGGGCGGCAACAGAAAACGAGAGGGCTTCTCAAAGCAACAACGTGCACATCGCACTACTATGCAAGAGAGCCCCAAGACGGCCCAAAAGAGTCCCGAGACGCCCCAAAAGGGGCCCCAGAGAGGGAACACGAACCGAAAATCCGAGCCTTCCGCCCCAAGAGGCCCCCAGGAGGCCCCAAGATGCGCCCAGGCGGCCACAAGAGGCCCCCAAGAGGTCCCCAAAAGGCCCTATGAGGCCCCGAAGAGGCCCAAAAAAGGCCCCAAGAGACAACCGAACGGCCCCCAAGAGGCGTCCTAACTGCCTCCAAGAATCCAACAGGCTTCATACCCACAACCCAGGCACTGTGGCGGGATGGACCGAAGGCCATCAGGTAAACATTAACCCTCGAAGGTCCGCGCGGATGTCTCGGACAAGCACTGAAACCCCCTCCATGGCGCGCGGAGCGCGCCAGAGGCGGCGCCGGAAGCGCCGCCAGGGAAGCCTAGGCGCCGATCCAAGAAATCCGCGCGGACCGTCGAAAGTGTATGTGTATGCCGTTTTTGTTGGGGTGAGGCCCTGCCGTTTCTCATGTAGAAATTTATGGCCCCCCCCCCTGGCGGCGCCTGCAGCGCCGCCCCCGAGGCGCTCGCCGCACAGACCTCCGAGTTTTTACGTTTCTGTCATTGCTTGTTCCCCGATGCTTCGCTTGCGAGAGGCCTCATCCCCAGAGCCCTCGTCGTCGCCCTCGTCCGTGAGGCTGCCGGCGTCCCAAGGCACCTGCGGGGCCTGCTCGGAGACTGGGCTCCTCGACGGGGGGGGGCGGCGCACCGCCGCGAACCGGAACTGCATCATGGCGCTTCCCCCCGGGGCTAGGGGATTGGGCGGCGCTGACAGGGGGTCGATAAACGGGAAGGGGGGGGAAAGGTGCACTTTTCGGGCCCTATCGGCCCCCGGGGCCCTGATGTTGAGTCCAGAATGTCCCCCTAAGGGCAGATTTCGGGAAAAAATGAAAAATAGTCTCTCTCTCTTTCTCACACACACGCCAAAAAAACAAAAAAAGACAAACAAACAAACAACAAACAAACGCAAATGCGGATGAGAGATGAGAGTGAGGGGGCGGTGGGGACGTCGGAAATCTGCGAGACTCTGGAGAAGCCCGCCGCAGGCGCCAAAAAAACACAAATGTTACAACGAGCCCGCCGCTGGCGCCGATATTTTCTTAAAACTAATGTGGATCGGTCGCCGGTGGGTCGCGGGTGGGTCGCGGGTTGGGTCGTGGGTGGGCGGGGTGGGTCGCGGCTGGGTCGCAGGTGGGTCGCGGGGTGGGTCGATGGTGGGTCGCGGGTGGGTCGCGGGTGGGTCGTGGGTGGGTCGCGGGTTGGGTCGTGGGTGGGTCGCGGGGTGGGTCGCGGCTGGGTCGCAGGTGGGTCGCGGGTGGGTCGCAGGGTGGGTCGCGGGTGGGTCGCGCGTTGGGTCGCGGCTGTGTCGTGGGTGGGTCGCGGGTCGGGTCGCGGGTGGGTCGCGGAGGGGGCGACGACAACAACAACAACAACAACAGCAACAACAACAGCAGCAGCAACAACAACATCAAAAACAACAACAACAACAACAACAACAACAACAACAACAACAACAACAGCAGCAGCAACAACAACAACAACAACAACAACAACAACAACAGCAGCAGCAGCAGCAGCAGCAACAACAACAACAACACCAACAACAACAACAACAACAATCATTATAAGACTGTTCGCTCTTACTTTCCCGTGTGTCATTCAAAACGAGTTCCCCACACACTCGATACCAGCCCTTTTGTGTATTCGATCACACACCCTTTGGGGGTATTCTTTCTCTTTGCGGAGGGCGGCAAACCTGAACGGGCGGGCAAACCTGAACGGGCAAACCTGAACGGGCGGACAATCCTTCGTGGACGTACATGTGCCCGCCATTGGAATTTGTGTGGGCCCTGCATAAAGAGGAACGAGGGAGAGTGGGAGGAAGGGAGGGGGAGGGACGAAGGAAGAGGGAAAACGCCAGGAGAGAAGGAGCGAAGAGGGGGGCGGTTGATTAAAGACAGAGAGAGAGGGGGAGAGAGAGAAAACAAAAAAACAAAAAATGATAAGAGAGGTAGAGAAAGAGAGAGAGGGGAATAGAGAGAGAGAGAAAGAAAGAGGGAAGGAGGAGACAGGAGAGGGGAGGCAGAAGGGATGAGGGAGAGGAGGGAGAGGGGGTAGGGCAGAGAGGCATAAGGATGAGGGAAGAGAGGAGGAAGAGAGAAGGGAGGAGAGGAGGGAGGAGGGAGGAGGGAGAGGGAGGAGGAGCAGGAGGGTAAGAGCGTGAACGTTCGAGGAAGTCCTCGGCGCAAGCGCCGTTCCTGAAGGAAGTCTCGGGCGGGAGCCCACGACGGGCGGTCGATCCCCTAACGGGCGGGTCGGGCGGGTGGGACATTCAAGCGGGATGCCTGATTACTAAGTAAATTGTAACGGCGTCCTTGGCGCAGCGTGTTTCCTGAGCGTTGAAAGCGCGATTCCTGAATAAATTGCATGTAAGTCACAAGCGAGAGAGCAATTCCTGAATCCGCCGACCCTGTAGGCGTGTGTGAGGGGCTTGTCCGTTCAAGTCGTCATCGCCGTCATTCGTTGGTCGTCGTCTCTGTCGTCCCCTTTCCCTGCCTCCCCCCTTTCCCTGGGCTCGTCGAAGCTCCCCCCTTCCGCAGGGACCTCCTCAGCGCGCCAGCCAAAGCAAAGTTGAGCAACGTCGTAATTGAGTCGAAGGGAAGCCCCTTCCCTTCGATCCCTCCCCCGCCGGGGAGGGGGGAGGGAGGGTCCCAGGGGGGGGGGGTCAGATACGACGCCCCCCCTGGGAGTCCCGGAGCCCAAAAAAGCCCCAAGACGGGCCAAGAGTGCCCCAAGAGGCTCCAAAGACAGTCCAAGAGAACCCCGAATCGCCGAACGATCTGTCCAAGACGCCTTGACGGCCTCCAGACGGCCCAAGAGGCCTGCAAAGCGCCCCAAGAGGCCTCCAGGAGCTTTACCACGAGAGCCCCAAGAGGCAAAATTCATGGATTTCCCATAGGTGCTTGAAACATTTTGGCGTGCTTGCCTCTTCTGCTTCCCGACGCGCCAAGACGGCCCAAGAGGCCCCCAAGATCGCCCCGAGACAGCCCAAGAGGCCCCCAAGAGGGTCCCCTATCGGCCGAAGAGGGCCCCAAGACGGCCCAAGACGCCTCCAAGACAGCCCAAGAGGCCCCCAAGACGGCTCCAGGAGAGTGCCCAGACAGCGGACCCGAACGGACATTTCGAGCTCTCAGCCCCAAGAGGCCCCCAAGAGGCCCCGAAGAAGCCCCAAGAGGCCCCAAGAGGCTCCCAAGGGGCCCCCAAACCGCCCCAAGACAGCCCGGGAGAGCCCCAAATTGCCCAGGAGGCCTCCAAGTGTGCCTTGAGACGGCGCAAAAGGAGCCCTGGACGGCCCAAGACGGCCTCAAGAGAGCCCCAGGCTGTCCCAAGAACGCCTCTGGCCTCCTCCTCTTCCTCCTCCTCCTCCTGCTCCTTCTCCTCCTCCTCCTCCTCCTCCTCCTCCTCCTCCTCCTCCTCCTCCTCCTCCTCCTCCCCCCCTCTGCTCCCCCTCCTCCTGCTCTCCTCTGCCTCCTTCTCCTCCTCTTGCTTCTCCTCCACATCCTTCTCCCCCCTCCTCCTCCTTCATCCACCTCCTCCACCCTTCCTCCACCTCCCACTCACCCTGCTCCCCCTGCCCCGCCCCTCGTTTTCACTTTCGTCGTTCTCAGGGTCAACGGCACCGGCCGTAAGGCCTTCGCAATAAAATGTGAGGGGTTCTCTGGCGGGAGCGGGGGTCTTGATTAAATTGCGAAGAAGTCTTGACTCAATTGCGAGGAAGTCTCCAGCGGGAGCGCCGGCCCTGAGTAAATTGTGAGGAAATCTCAGATGGGAGCGGGGGTCCTGACTAAATTGCGAGTAAGTCACAGGCGGGAGCACCGATCCCGAGTAAATCGTGAGGAAGTCTCAGGAGCGGGGGTCCTGAGTAAATTTGGAAAAAGTCTCAAGCGGGAGCCGTTGTTGTTGTAATCCGGGGGGCCAGGGGCCCAGTTTTAGCAGGAAAACTTTCCCTGACAACAAACAGGGTGCGAGCGTCGAGGGGCACACTTTGATGAGAAAAAACAATATGCACAGGTGAGGGGGATCAACAATAATTATTCTTCAGAAATGAAAGCTCAACAACAACAACAACAACAACAACAATCACTTTACCCGAACGCTCAGTGTTCTCACCAGTGCCAGGGTTTTCATGCGACGCCAGCCAATACCCCCACTTTGTGGGGGGGCAGTGCAAGCTCTACCAAATATCCACACGACTCTTCGCCACCACCCACACCCAGCTTCCCGCCCTATGACGTTCGGACACTTCACTTCGTGGCCTGCGGACGACCGTGGCTACTACACTGGCGTGGAGTACACACCCACAGAAGTTGTTAAGCCTACGTTCGTACACCCACAGAAGTTGTTAAGCCTTGTTAACCCACAGAAGTTGTTAAGCCTTCCACAGAACATCTGTTGCATATGATGCATATGGTACATGATACACATGATACACATGATACGTACTCACAAGATAGTTGATCACATCTTTAGGGCAAATTCCTGAGGGATGTGGGAATACACAAGAGAGAGAGGATATGGTTGTCCCGATGGTTGTCTCGATGGTTGTCCCGATGGTTGTCCTGATGGTTGTGGTTGTCCCGATCGTTGTCCGCGCGCGCGGATAGAAATTGGTTTTTTTAGAAATCGGACAGCGCGCGCGGGTGGAAATTTTGAAAAGTCGTGCAGCTGTTTTTCGAGGACCTACGGTGCGATTCGTGTGATTTTATGATGCGCGGTGGTAAAATTCTTAAGAACCCAATGGTTTTTGGAGATTTCGGCGTGCGCGCGCGAAGAAAAAACGAATGTGTCCCGCATGGTATTATTTGACAGGGATGATGGCCCTGGCAGGTGCGCAACCGTTGTCGCAGAAGTTCGAAAAAGTTGCTCGCAAAAGCCCGTTTGACAGAAATGTTTAAAAAGTGTTGGGTTTCCTACGAATCCGCAAGAGCGCGCGGGATGAGATTTTGACATTTTTTTGTTGAAAAACCATTAGTTTTTTGATGTTTTTATGTTGAAATCGCTCCGAACACTAAGCTTTTGGAAGGATTTCGTCTTGCGCGCGCGAATGTCCACTTTACCTTATTTTTTGCAAAGGATTCTTGAAATTTGATTATATTAGAACAAGAAATGTCATTTTATAGTGTTTTTTGCAAGGGAAAGCGGGGGGGAACAAAACAACCGGATCTTGATCACATCGAATTACCTGAGGCTTCCTCACGAAAATGATGAAAATGTAGCTGCGGCCTAGGCGGCGCAGGGGGGCCGTGCACCAGGGGGCCCAACAATAATTATTCTTTAGAATTAATAATGTTCAACAACAACAACAACAACAACAACAACAACAACAACAACAACAACAACAACAACAACAGCAGCAGCTGCAGCAGCAGCAGCAACAGCAGCAGCAGCAGCAACAACAACAACAACAACCATTTTAAGGCTGTACGCTCTTACTTGCCCGCGAATCATTCAACACGTATACCCTACACCCTCGAAGCCCGCCCTCTTCGTCTTCGATCACACCCCTTTCGGGGGGATTATTTCTCTTTGCTGGGGCCGGCGGGCTTAGACGCACGGGCAAACCGGAACGGGCGGACAATCCTTCGGGGGCGTACATCTCTCTGCCCGCCATTGGAATTGGCGCGGGCCCTGCAAGAGGAGGAGGGGAAGAACGAGGGAGAGTGGGAGGAAGGGGAGGGGGAAGGACGAAGGAAGAGGGAAGATACCAC